CAATATATTCCAATTTCTCCCATGATAAGGTTCAACTCCATTTTCAAACTACCACGTAAAAACTGTGCTTCCTACGATGGTGCAAAGCATTATTTTGTCAAATCAATGTAACGACAGTGAATGACTGTTTCTGAGTTTTTTTTTGCTTGAATATCTATTATGACGTGGGAGACCCTGTCCTTGTATGATATCTTAGGTTTGGTAGAGTCGGTGCTGGGGGTGGGAGAGGGGGGGTTGTAAGTCTATTAATAATACTAACCTGAAGGTTTAGGAGGGGTTACACTGAAGGGTAGAAGAGGTTTTGCAACCGCTTGACCAGGTTTAACTCCAGGGTTGACTACTCCTACTCCAGGATCTGGTTGGACACGTTGAGGAGTTAAAGTATCACTGGAGGAGTCCAGATCTGTCTCCCACCAACCTAGCTTCCCTCCAGTTCCTGCTCCAGTTACTCCTAAACCCTTCAGCAATCCAACACCATGAGAAGATCCTATAATTAATATAATCACTACTACAGTGAGAACCAGAAAACTGTGAAATAGAGAGGCGACTTTTAGTTATTATGTAAATCAGGGATTTTACAGCTACAAATAAAACTATTTACTTTGTAATATGATCAAATACATTTCGTCTTCCTTTTCCTCAGTTTTCTGATTCTCACTGTATATTTAAGTAAACTGTAAAAATATTGCTAAATATACGTTAAATAAATATTTCTATTTATTTCAAAACTCAAGTCACGCCAGCGATTGTAAACAAGTAAGCGATTGGAATTAGTTAATTTTAAATATTTCTTGGCCCCTTTTGAACTATTCTTGACATCGAGTTATAATGAAATAGAAAACAATCAATGGTGTTCATTTTAGTGGATCGACTTTTTTAATAAAAAATCGAGAACCGGGGAAAATTCTCAATGACGATAATATAAAAATTGTATCATAGATGACAGTTCCATTGGGTCACAAAAATCCCGTTTCCGGCTTTCAAAAATAATTTTTATGTGTAGTTCGAGAGTATTTGATGGAATGGACAGAAAAAGTGAGTTTCATCTTAACATAAAAAAAAATAGTGAACACATTCACCAAATAAAAATGGTTATTCGTATTTATATGTTGAGAATGCAATTAGCATTGTCAATAAAACTGTTGATTTCTAAATGTCTTTTTATTAAAGTTAATACATCCGGATGTGTTCCTTAGGTTTGACGTTTTTTTAAGATTAAAAAAAGGAAGCCCTGGAATGTCGGTATTGGATAAAGTAATTAATCAATGATATCACATTCAAACAAACGGTTCAATTTTTTTTATTTCGCAGAACTATGTAAATGGATTAATATTGTCGACAATGGCAAATCTTATAGAATAGTCGTAAAATTTAAAATTGATTTAAATTTATTTTTAAAAATTCAATATTTCTATTTATGAAACCAGAAGAAAAAGCTTTTACCTAAAATATATTAATATTTATCATGCCAAATAGTGTTTTTCCGTAATATTGTTGCTGCTATAATTTAGTGTAATTAATTGTAAAATAGGGTTTTAAAAACACTACACAAACAAAAATAGACTCAAGAATTTTTTACATGATAAGTAAGTAGGCTTCCTTTAAGTTTCCCTAATTCAGATCCAGTGCTACTTTGGCCGTAATATCCAATGGGCCCGATGAATACAGATTTGTATTCCTATGCGTTTTATTCATCTTAAAGAATAGTAGGGAGTTGGTCGTTAAAACTTTTTCAAAATCGCTTCAGGGGCAGTGTGCCCTGACAGATCGTTTATTTGTGAACAATCCCTTTGAATCTACATAATTAAGTGCTAGACTGGTTCCCTGGTGTGGAAGATAATCTACCTGATGAAGTGCTAGACTGGTTCCCTGGTGTGGAAGATAATCTACCTGATGAAGTGCTAGACTGGTTCCCTGGTGTGGAAGATAATCTACCTGATGAAGTGCTAGACTGGTTCCCTGGTGTGGAAGATAATCTACCTGATGAAGTGCTAGACTGGTTCCCTGGTGTGGAAGATAATCTACCTGATGAAGTGCTAGACTGGTTCCCTGGTGTGGAAGATAATCTACCTGATGAAGTGCTAGACTGGTTCCCTGGTGTGGAAGATAATCTACCTGATGAAGTGCTAGACTGGTTCCCTGGTGTGGAAGATAATCTACCTGATGAAGTGCTAGACTGGTTCCCTGGTGTGGAAGATAATCTACCTGATGAAGTGCTAGACTGGTTCCCTGGTGTGGAAGATAATCTACCTGATGAAGTGCTAGACTGGTTCCCTGGTGTGGAAGATAATCTACCTGATGAAGTGCTAGACTGGTTCCCTGGTGTGGAAGATAATCTACCTGATGAAGTGCTAGACTGGTTCCCTGGTGTGGAAGATAATCTACCTGATGAAGTGCTAGACTGGTTCCCTGGTGTGGAAGATAATCTACCTGATGAAGTGCTAGACTGGTTCCCTGGTGTGGAAGATAATCTACCTGATGAAGTGCTAGACTGGTTCCCTGGTGTGGAAGATAATCTACCTGATGAAGTGCTAGACTGGTTCCCTGGTGTGGAAGATAATCTACCTGATGAAGTGCTAGACTGGTTCCCTGGTGTGGAAGATAATCTACCTGATGAAGTGCTAGACTGGTTCCCTGGTGTGGAAGATACGCTTGTTTCAAAATATCCTGCTGTGCTTGCAGATTCCCTGGTGTGGAAGATACGCTTGTTTCAAAATATCCTGCTGTGCTTGCAGATTAGAACCCGATCCTGCAAACAATATTTGTATTTCCTCGGGGTTTTCTTGATTTCAATTCGAGGATATTTACAGCTAAGATGGGTAGAAAAGTGGCCAAGATTTATGACAGATATATTCTAACTCTATAATTAGTGAATCCCTTGAATATTGTAACTTCTAATATTTTATATCCATATATCCGAAGAATACATATACTCTATATATACCTTTAATATTTGATATCCATATATCCGAAGAATACATATACTCTATACCTTTAATATTTGATATCCATATATCCAAAGAATACATATACTCTATACCTTTAATATTTGATATCCATATATCCAAAGAATACATATACTCTATACCTTTAATATT